GATCAAAATGATACCAAAAATTGAGATCAAATTATAGGGATCTGAAATAATGACGTCACTAACAAACATGGCGGTCGACAACGGGGTCAAATTTTAATAAACACACATGTTTCAGACTTCTTTTTAATTATTTTTTATATAAAAAGTTGAATAAAGTTAATTGGGGGGCTAAAAATTGTTTCAGTTTGTTTATACGCAAGTTTTAAAAAATTATAAAATGCAATACGCTCCAAATATTTAATATATTCAGTAAAATAAATCACATAAGTAAATGCACCTGTCAATAAAAGAATTGTTTTCATATCGAAAAACATTATTTACTTCATTAAAATGTTAAAAAATATTTACTCTGAATATTTAATTAAAATTTGAAGTAGAAATACAGTTTCCTTTTCAAGAAAAGTAAGGAGTTAATCGAGTTAAAGAATAGTTTTAAGGTTATGTTTTAGGTTATGTTGTGTCTCTTGTTTACCAATCTGAAAATATTAAATAAATATGTTGTAGGATACACAGTGCAACGAAAAAATAATAATTATAAACTACTTTTAATTTTAAATCTTGATTAACTGAAAATACAATTAATTAAACATGTTTTAATAAAATATTTATTGTGACAAAATAGAGTGAGATTATTGCTGTCACACTTTGCTTATGAATATCTCAAAATATTAAGCAATATTATTTATTGTACTGAATGTGACTGGTTCATAGTATTTTCTTGTTTACAAATTAATTTAATTATTAATTATCAAGCTATATTTTAGGATTTTTAAATATAAAACTTGCGAGTTTAGAAATTATTTCATGTAAAATGTCAAAATCGACCCCGTTGTATTAGTTAAATTTTCTGCCACTAGAATGCGTATCGCAGTATTTCAGATCCCTATATGGTTTGATCCTCTTTTTGGTATCAATTCGTTGCAAATGAGTTGTAATGAGCACAAAAATGTATCCAACCCAAAATGAATATTAAGGTTGGTACACCTACCTGCTCTTGGCAGATGTTTTTATGTTTGTTGTGATCATTCTATAACTACAACAAGAAACATATTAACATATTATAGTTACTGATATATTTAATTTACAAGTTTTCTTGTTAGTCTTAATTAAAATCTCTAATGATAGTTCATAAAAATTTTTTGAAATTGAAAATAGTGTTGCACGTCGAGCGATTATTCTCGATCGAGACAAATTCATGCGCTGCAAAAATAAATCTTACATTCAGCCCACTCTTGATTAAAAGCTACATTATATATAACCAGTATTGACTGAATTTTAACATTGGGAATGTGATTTTAAGTCATAAAATTTTAATCTAGTTTTATGCTTAAAAATAGGCCTAATATAAACCTATTTTATTGTGTTTTTTTTAAGACGTAAACTTCTAGTTTTTCTAAGGTTATCAAATTGAGACAAAAAACATATATCAAAATTGTTTCGCAACAATTTTGATATATTTTTTGTCTCAATTTGATATCCTTAGAAAAACTGTGTCATTTAAAACAATTGAATTTTAGTTTTATCTAATTTTTTTTGTACGAAAGAAGTGAAAAAAACAAATGACATCTATTTTACTCAACATGCATCACTAATTAAAAACCATCAATTTGCAAGTCGATTTTTGTTTTCTTTAGAGAAAGCAACATCCTTTCACACGAATCTCCTGCTGGGAGGGATCCTCCACTCTAGAGGAAGTACACACATGTGTAGTTTTTCTCCATTCTTTTACATTTCCTTTAGTGAGAGAATAGAAAAATGCAAGAATCCCAATATGAAATAGTGACTGCCGGAGACATTTATGTTTTTCTCTTATTGAAGCGAAATACTCCACAACGTTGGAAATTTTCAAGGCCAAACATCCTGGAAAAAATATATATATACATAGTTTATGACTATATATTGGAGAGCAATAAAGCAATTCTCATTATAAGAGAGACTTTCGACCATTTCGGCTTCGCGTACTTTTCTCGCTCCTCTACTCTTTGTTCATTGTCAAGAATTTCTCTCTTGACCGTCAAAAACTTTTATAAGCACCATGTTTTGACAGTCGGCGGGTTCTGCCTGTTATATTTTACAACCGACTCTCTTCGCACGAAATATTATTACTCCGAGCACAACCTTCGCTAAATGAAAAAGCACCTTTACAGACAAATATTTTAACTATATACGTGAACTTGACTTTCGGGTCAATAAAATGTAATATATATTGCGGTTTATGAGACCGCTGGTCTTGTACTTTCTGCGAAAAGTATTTGTGAGGATATACATCTGGACCACAATAATAACAATTAGAATGTATCTTCTGGGGCGAGCAATTTTTAAAAATATAATCCATTTATGTTGGTGCAAAGTGAAAACAATACGCTTCTGTGTAAATATAAATATTTTCTATTGTTACCCAATTAGTGATTTTATCTAAGGTCCTCTATTGTATTATGCGTCATTAGAAATAATATTTCTTGACATGATCCGTAAATATTTTCGACAATATAAAAGAGATGTCAGTGTGAATTTCTTTCTACCGGTAATTTACTAAATTGATTGTTAATGACTTTTTAATCGATTAAATATTCTAATTTTGATGAATAGAACTCGAGATCATAAATATTATGGAAATTTAATAAATTTATATACAATGCCTTCCAAACAATTTGTCACTTTTATATCTATCGTTACAAATTTACGACTCAAAATTTCCTTTTCGTTTCTGTAAAAAAAATCAATTTTCCCCATGAAGCTTCCTTAAGTAATCATAAAACATGGTTGAGACAAAAAGAGGATTTTGTTTTTCCCCGAATTCTAGACAGAATTTTAGATCTTTTCCTATAGAGGAATATGCTGATTCACTTAAATAAAGATTAGACAAAGAAAAAGTGCATATAATATACCTACATTTGTAAATATCTTCAATTGAAAAATTATCACTGTTAACTTAAGCAGTATCAAATTGCAACGAATTGATACCAAAAATGTGTATCAAATCAAAAATTGATCAAAATTTATTAATTTAAGGCATCATATTTGATCCATTTTAGTATAAATTTGATACTTTCAAGAAAACTGTTAAGTATTCTAAATATTAATAACTATTTTTGAAAATAGGTATATTTGATCATTACTATTAAGTTTATATTTTCACACATTTCCAGGACTTTCAAAATTTCAAAAATTTCAAATCAAGAGATTTTGAAATACAATTATTATACTAAGAATTACTACTGCAAATTTTTCGAAATTCAAATTTTAAAAAATCTCAATTTAAAAATCTTTTTAAAATTCAATTACTTCTCAACAATTGAAATTGCAATTATTTAAAAATTCAGAATTTAAAAAACAATTTAATTTTTTAAGGTCAAATCTTATTGAAATTAAATTATTAAAAAAATTATAAATGCAATTCTTTAACAATCCAAATTAATAAAAAAATTGAATTTTAAAAGGTTAAATACTTTTGTAATTCAATTATTTTGAACTAGATTTAGTTAAACAAATTATATTGCACTTTTTTTTAGATTTAGGAGCACTTGTGTACGAAAGGGCATGTCCCGTTATGTTTTCTAAATAAATAAATAAATTTTAAAAAATTGTAATTACAACTGATTCAAAATTGAAATTTTTAAAAGTATAACTGAATTTTATAAGGTTTTAGTCTTAAGGATTCAATTATTTTTAAAAATTACAACCTAAAACTGATCAAAAATTAAAATTTTTTAAAATAATTGAATTTTATAAGATTTATATTGACTGGGTTTCAATTATTTTTAAAAAATTGTAACTGTAACTCTTTAAAAATCCTACTTTTTCAAAATATTTGAATTTTAGTAGGTTAAATTCTTTAGAAAATTCGAATTTTAAAAAATAATTGAATTTTGAATGGTTAAAAACTTTTGTAATTCAATTATTTTGCAATGTTGACAACGAACTACAACTGATTAAAAAGTCAAATTTTAAAAAGCAATTGCATTTTATAAATTTTAAACCATTTGGAATTCAACTATTATTAAAAATTGCAACTGCAACTGATAAAAAGTTTCAAGTTTTTAAAAATTTAATTGTAAAACTGTTTAAAATTCAATTATTTTTAAATTTAGAAATGATATTTTTTTTAAATTAAAATTTTAAGAAATTTTAAATTGAAACCTTTTGAAATTCAAATTTTTAAAAATTTAATTTTAAAGCCTTTGGAAATTCAATTATTTTTCAATTTTTTGCAACTGCACTTGTTTCAAAATTTAATTGAATTTTATAAGGTTAAATGCTACTGAAATTCATTTATTTTAAAAATTGTAACCTCAACGGTTTGAAAATTGTACTAATTAAAATTAGTTTTATTATTCTCAAAATTTTGCCACTTTATCTCTTTTAAAATTCAATTACTGTTAAATTATTTATTTATATAAAATTAATTACTAAGTAATATATAAATAATAGTTTCAAAAAAGTTATTTGAATCATTTTAAGATAACTATTGCGTTAGTCTTTAAAGTTTAGTTTAATTTAGCTTTAGTATAATTTAGTATTTAGTTGTATTATTACTATTATTATTATTGTCAAAAGTGGAAAAAAATTCAACGTTTTGTTTTAATGTAATACAAAAATATTATGTTTGGTTAAAATAAAATATTTATTTATGTTAGAAAATCTTAATTCAATACTTACCTGAAGTGTCTTCTTCCTTCCTTCTAAGTTTGCGCTTCCATAGTTTTTGATTATTATTTAAATTATATATAATTTGTAATCTCTAGTTTATGTTAAATAGAATTTAAAATAACTATTTGTTACAATCAGTAACAATAACTGAATTTAATTATAAATTTATAAATAAGAAAATAATTTTATCACTTTAATTACTATTTTATCTGAATTTATAAAAAAGTGTTTGGAAAAATAATTTTTTTTTTTCAAATTTTATAAATAAAATCAAAGTCTTAATCATTAAATGACATAATGGGGAAATGGAAAGTGTATTAAGGTTTTTATACATATTATATGAGACAGTATTTTATGCAAAAAATTGTAACATTTATTATTTTCGAGAATGATAATCTTTTTCATCACATTCCGTATATTTATGTACATTCGAATATTTAAACATTTGGCGAATTCACAATACTAAATAATATTTACATAATGTGTATCTCTTCATTAATTACAATATACAATTTATAGACTATTACAACGAGAGAGGGAGATCACGTCTTACGCGCTACGCCTACCCAAATATTTACATATTTTTTTTAGTACTTTCTATACAATATTTAAAAGATCACTTTTAGGCTTATAAATAAGCCCGAAAACTATATTCTAACATTTGGTTACGAAAAAAATCAGCAAGTTATTAACTCAATTTTTTAAAATACTGGTATCGAAAATTTTCAGACAATTGAGAAATTCAAATACATGTTTTTCTTTCTATTTTAAAATTTTACTCGGGATAAAACAAATAAGAATTTTTACTTTTTTTAAATAAAGTACTGTTGTATTTTTACTTTCTTGATAATATGAAATATTAATATTGGACCTAATTGGTAAACAATTTTTACTCTTGTGGTTTTTTGATCACAAGAATATTTTCTAATTTTTAATTATTTCAAATTTGAAAATTGAGAATACACTACATTGGAGCATAAAAATTGAATTCTTATTCGGAGAGTACAAAACAGTATTTTTTCTCATGCTAAAGTTGACTGCCACTTGATTTGAAGTATGTTCACAAACATTTTCAAAAAAATGAGAATGTAATATTACAATTCTAATGACGCATTTTCGATTTACGAACAAGGGGATAAAAAAGTTGCAGATTAAATTATACCCTTGAGAAGTGAAAAATATGAGAAAAGCGTTTAGTTTTATAATTTGGCAGTCAATCACCGTGTTTTGATAAAATGACTAAAAAGTTGAGAAAACGAAAAATTGGCGATACATTCTGATTGATCAGGACGTAGTAATTTTTCATTTAATACCTGGAATTCAACTCTGTCGACCAGTGAGGACAGTGATGGGCTTGAGTAGAAGTTGAGGATTGTGAGAGAGACTCATGGCCTGTTGACTGATGTTGTTGCATATCGAGACTGGTGGCGAGTGCGATGACATTGGCTCGGGACTGCTTCCAGGGGAAGCGGTCGTCGAGGCAGGTTGGCTCATTAGCGGTTGATTGAGGTACCGGGGTTGCTGATTGAAGACGGCCGCTTGATGCTGGTGGGCAGCCAACGACCTGAGAGTTGTGTAGAAGTCGTAGGGGCTGCCCGTCGGCGTGAGGCCGGGCGGCGCAATTCCGGCTGGGTATCCACTGGGTGCCTGGAGGAGTCTCTCCATGGAGAAGGCGCCGTGCGCTGGGGGAGCGGCCGCTGGCAGAGGCTGCGGCTTGCAGGGAATGCTCGGAGATGTTGTCACGGCGCCTGGGAGTAGGCTCGCCGGATAGCCGGCCGGAGTTGTGTAGGCTGGGTTCACTGAGGTGTAGCCTGCCCGATGGAGGTAGGGCAAGGTGTACAAGGAGCTGGGCCATCCTGGCGGTGCGTATGGGTTCTGGTAGAAACCACCCAGGACGACACTTCGTTTGAAGGCTGCTAATCGCGACCTCGATGCGGCGGTTGTTCTCCTCCGTAACTTTCCCGTTGTTCCGCCGATGAACACGTCCTCTGAACTTGGGTCCAACATCCAGTAGTTGCCTTTGCCAGGATCGTCGTAATGCCTCGGAACCTTCACGAAGCACTTGTTCAGGGACAAATTGTGCCTGATAGAATTTTGCCAACCTTGCTTGTTGTTCTCGTAGTACGGAAAGTGACGCATGATGTACTCGTAGATTCCGTTGAGCGTTAGCCTCTTCTCGGGACTTTCGCGAATTGCCATCATGATGAGGGCATTGTAGCTGAATGGTGGTTTTTCCGACTTTTTCTTCTCCTCGCTGGAGGGATCTTTTTGGGAGCCTGGACTGCAGGTTGAGGAATTCCTGGAGCAGTCGAGTGGAGGCGTTTCGGCGCCGTCACCAGTGACGTCGAGGTCACTGCAATCGTCGCTGTCGTCAACATGGTCGACGGGCGAGAGCGATTGGCTGACGGAAGGTGCGGGAGTTCCTGCGCAAGCTTCTGGAACAATGCTGCGAATGCTGAAGTTACTTTTAAGAGTAGCTCTGGGTGGTGGCGAAGCCGTCACTGTATGCTGCTCACTTGCACTCTCCATGTTCACCATAATTAGTCTTTTTTGATAACACTGAATTATTTTCAAAAATTTCACGATCACTTAATAATCACTTCTCACAAGAATGTTGTTCATTAAGTCTCTTTTGAGATTCACGAGAAATGGGAAACACTTTTGAGTTTTTGTAAGAGGGTCCACACGAGAGTTGAAAAGTCTGTGGACGGTCAACTGCGACTGACGAAGCGATACGTCGGACCAGCCGCACAGATCTGAGCCTTCCCCACCAGGCGCCGGAGTTTATAGCTCCATTTAGGCTCCACCCTCGGAGTCTGTTGGTTGCGCCTGTTGGGCGGACGCCAGCCAATGGTGTTTGTTGTAGGACACTCACCCCCTCCAATTTAAGGGAAGTTTACATTATGTGTCGAAGCAATGCATGGTAGCGGGGCAAAATATTTGTGATTTCATGGAAATGTTGGAATGGAAATGTTGAGGTGGACATAGTGTTGCGAATCTGAGAAATGGGATTTTGTAAATACTTTGAGAAACTATTAAACATAAACTCAGTTAGATACACATTTGAAGCTTCGGAACGTGATTTCAACTTGCAATATGTTTCTTCTTTTTCTTTAACTTTTTCAAAATATTAGAAAGCGTTTCTAAACTATCAGGGCAGTTGAATCTCAAATAACAATTGTCCGTTTTTGAATTAGGTTTTTTTTTTATTTCTTTTCAAGCGAATGTATAGTTTCGTTTAAATTGGGTTTGCACTAGATTTTAACCAAACTTTTTCCGTAAGAGTATGATTTAAATTTCAAAAATTTACTTTATCTTCTTTTATGATTAAAAGTAGGCTACTTTTTAAACTTTTTTAGTTCTTTTTTAGTATTATGTTTTTAGAAGTAATTTTTAATTTTGTGTCTTTTATCAAACAAATTCTTATACTTTCTTCATAAAAATTTAAATCCAAATCAATTTTTAACTGATTTCCAGTGAAATTTCACTGATTTTTATAGTGACCCTATTCTCACGGTTTAAATCAGTCAAAAGTTTCACTGTAAGTCAGCTAAAAATTAGAAATTACTGACATCTCCGTAATTATTAATGATTAATATTTCAAACATTTTTAACGGATTTTCATTTAAATTTCACTAAATGAAATCATGAAAACAAAATCAATGAAAATCTGTCAAATTTCACTGATTAAGCTTTCATAATTTTTTTTTAAATATACCTATATTTAACTAAATTTTGGTAATCAATACACAGAAAAAACGAAATTTTATTTTTTTACCGCAAATGTATTTTTTCTTTGGCTCTTTTAAATTAAAATTCACTTACAGTTTTCTTGAAAGTATCAAATTGATACTCAAATATATCAAAAGTTGGTATCAAATTGATACTATCAAGAAAACTGTGACTACAAAAAATGAGTCTCGTTTTAAGTCTAATTTTGACTAAAAAACTTACATTAATCCAAATATTGACTTAATTAGTAATAATAATCCAAAAAAATCCAAAAACTGACTTTTAACAAAAAAAAATAATAATAGTATTAATAGTAGTAATGTTATTAGTAGTAACAGTATTAATAGTAGTAATAGTAATAGTAGTAATAGTAATTATAATAAAAAGTAGTAGTATGTAGTAGTAGTAGTATAGTAGTAGTAGTAATAATAATAGTAGTAAAATAGTAATAGTAGTAATAGTATTAATAATAATAGTAGTATTAATAGTAATAGAAGTAATAATAGTAGTATTAATAGTAATAGTAGTAATAATAGTAATAGTAGTAGTAGTAAAATAGTAATAGTATTAATAATAGTAATAGAAGTAGTAATAATAATAGTAGTATAGAAGTAACAATAGTATTAGTAACACAGTTTTTCTATGGATATCAAATTGAGACAAAAAGCAAATCAAAAGTGTTGCAAAGCAACTCCTTTGATTCGTTTCTTGTCTCAATTTGATATCCTTATAAAAACTGTAAATAATAGTAGTAATAGTAATAGTAGTGAAACTAGTAATAATAGAAATAGTAGTAATAGTAATAGTAGTAAAAGTAGTAATACTAGTAATAATAGTAATAGTAGTAATAATAGTAATAATAGTGATAATAGTAATAATAGTGATAGTAGTAATGTAGTAGAGCAATAGTATACAGTTATAGCATAGTTATATTGTATATCACTTGACACATAAAAAATCGCTGATAAAATTTTGCAATGTTTATACATAATAGTTGAATATAAAGAATGATAATGATTATTAAGAAGCGGCACGTGCAGAGTCTTAAGCCGAATCACCTGGCGCCGCCTAGTGGGAGGAGTTTTCTCGTGTTTGTACCCAATGTTGACAGCTGACATTGTAAACAGAAGTCTGGCTCATACCATTTCGAATAGTGGGGAGCGCAGTCGCAATGGCAACTACTAGTGCAAACAAATCAAGATCTCCTCGTTACCATGGCGCCCTATACGCCCTCTTTCTCACCGCACATTTATACCTTTATACTTTACACATCATTTTTTTTTTCTTTCTGTTTTGTTAAATCTATCATAATATGGAAAGTAATCAACAAACAACAGCAAAAAATAGTTTTTTTGGTACTTTTAGAATTTAGTTATATTATTTTTAGAAAAAATGTCATTTTCTATTAATATTATTGAAAAGGTGACTTTCTATTATTTTTAGAAAAAGCGTTTGTTTATGACTTTTAGAAAATTTCTTTCTAATACTTTTAAAAAAATGTCATTTTCGTTTTTTTTAAAACAAAATGCCATTTTTTAAATAATATTCTAAATATTCTAAATACTCTCAAAGTTATATACCTTTCACTGAAAAAAGTTGCAGCAAAAATGATACTCTTAGATGGCGCCACGTCCTATGGCAACAAAAAAATGAGACTGAGTTTTTGTATATAAATATAATACTCAATTTAGTTACAAACTTATTAAAATTTAAAGATTATTGTCAAAATTTTGAACTTTTGGAAAACAATGGCGAACCATCGAAAGAAAAAAATAATTGTTTCTATTTTTTCAAACCATGGGCAAAGTATGGCGAACCATGGGAAGAAAAAAATGTTTTATTCATAATTTCAAACTATGGGCAAAGAATGGCGAACAAGGAAAAAGAAATTTTTTCTTCCTTTCATAGTTCGCCTTTACTTTGCCCATAGTTTGAAATAATATAATTATATACAGTTTAAATTTGTCAAGCTTTTAAATTAAATTTAATAATTTTTTTTTTTAAATCTGTTTGTAATTTTGTATGCAGTTTATTGATATGCAGTTTTTCTGCTTATATAGAGTTTGTGGTCAACTGATCTTATTAGTTGACCAGTTTTGTTTGTTGCTCTATACCTATATTGAAAAGCTTTCCATTCAATTTCAAACACATTCCGAGTAACAAAAATCCACAAAATATATACAAACAAAATAAAATCCTATAAAAATTTCAATTAAAATTAGTTTAACATCAATTTTAAGGATTTGCTTGTTATACTATGTGTAGAAAGAACTAAAAATCAACAAACAATAAGCTAAATATGATATTCTTGACCAAACTCATATCTGTCAATGCGAGAATATAAATAAATTTTAAGTAAATTATTACTGCCTAATGGAATTTCCGCCTACTTTCAACTTCCTCAAGTGCACCAATTTTTTTCCTGGTTTTTCCGAGGCTTGGGAAAATCCTGACCGCCTCTGATTCGCCGTCCGAAACATATTGTCTCGAATGTTATTCCCTCGTCCCTTTCTTATACACATTAAATTTGTATCCGCTACAATATAGAAAGATTAAAATATCATTTTGTCTCCGTTCTTAGAAATGTGTTTCATTGAAAAATGGAATTGAAAACATTATTGTCTACTTAAAATTGTATATCAGTCTGGCATACCGTCTGTAAACTATGAAAATTTACCACAATCCCTAAAACAAACATAAACTACAAAGAGTTGAAAATCTCCAAGTGTTCCTTTAATACCCACAACAGTTATATTAATACCATTGTGTGTATAGGTATCTATAAAAATCCCGAACAATCACAAAAGGAGGAGGGTACTTTCTCGAAAGAATTTTAAGACTCGAGTTGAGAACGGGTTGTAATGTGTCATATAATCTTGTAATTGCATTTGGGAAAAAAGGTTCATTTACAGCACTGCCTAAGTTGTCCTTTACGTAGTATTATATATATTATTCCTTATGAAGATAATTCGACGGTGATTTGTGGTTTGTCATAATATATGCAAATTTTGTGGTTGTGAACAATTGTTTCTAAACCACAAATCTTGTTGTATTGCGGTTTCATATATAACATTGTCAAATGATATGCTAAAATTCAATGAACTGATATTTCCTAACGAGTAATTTGTATGGTAAATTACAAACCACTTTTATGACTGTTTTAGGTGGTTCGAATCTGTAGGGTTCCTCATTAACTAAATCCTAAACTATTGAATTTACAAGTAAAATTATAAGTGGCATAAAGTGGTATTGATTTTGAGATTGGAATCAGAAGGCTTATATTATGGTGCGAGGGACAAAAATATTCATTATTTTTCTAAACAATGCGGTGAGAACAAAATTTATTTAGATCAAATAAAATTTAATTATGATCTAATTAAATTCTTTGTCATGTTGGTCATTATATTTATATTAGAAGCAAGTATTTACTTGACTTATTAAATCATTTATTTTATGATAGTCAATAAATATTATAATTTGTGTCAAATTCGAATTTTTCAAATCAAACAAATTTTATTAAATAATTGGAACATATAAATGATGGTGTAAACCAAGTATGAAAATCATTTAATTCAATAAATTTTACCTCCATAATTTTTAATTCAATAATTTTTAACTATAATTTTTAACTCAATAATTTTTAATTCAATAATTTTCAATTCAATAATTTTTAAATCAAGAATTTTTAATTACATAAATTTTATCTAAGAAATAATTTTTAATTAAATAATTTTTAACATAGTAATTTTTAATTCAATAATTTTTAATTTAAAGGAACATTTATATCATGAATGCATTTTTTTTTCTAAAATAGTAAAACATTTTTTTGAATCAAGTATTTGATTATTTAATGTGAATGAATTAATTAATTGACACTATTAGTACTTTTTTAATTACATCAATAATTATAATTTATTTACACCAAAGACATATCTCACTGCTTTATAAAAAAGATTTTTTGATCAATGTATAGAAGTGATTCAATTTAAAAATTTAACTTAAGTAAAAAAGATAACTCTGAAAATATTCA